GAGGACGATGAGAAGGAGGAGGAGGAGGAGTCTGTCTGTCTGTCTGTCTGTCTGTCTTACCCATTCGAGCTCCACATGTCTGATAACTGCGCTCTGCATTATCTGGGCCTCGGCTCTTTCGCCTGAACTCTCACTTTGGGGGTGCTCACGCCCCCGAGAGACCCAGCACAAAAGTTAAGACAAGTTGTTGCCAAGAGGGCCTTCGGGAGCGGTGGAACGGCACCCAAAGCTTCGCTGGTATGCCCCATGCGGGGCGGGCATTCAGGCCGGGAAGCAATACGCCCCTCAGCTAGCCCAAACACGGCGGCGACACAAGGGCCACCCCCACCATGCAAGGGTACAGCTGGGAAATGCACCGCGTCGCAGACCACGTCAAGCTACTTCTCCGTATTAACAAGACGCACTAGCTTTCAACGGGGGGGGCGACCTGGCTTACTGTTGAAACCAGACGCCCGAAAAAAAAACTGATACAACATCTGCTCTACCGTCACTACTGTGCCTCCACCTCCTCCTACGATCAGCCCAAGGGGAATGCGAATGACGCGCGCGGCGGCCTTGTCCTGTTGCTGCACCTCGGCCCCCGCGCCCTCGAGCGTGGCCCAGTACTCCTTCTGCAGCTCGAGAAGGTTGTTGGACATGGGCTCGGGGTCTTGGATCAGCGTAGACCCCGACACTTTGACTGCGATCCGACCGACCCCGCTGTCCGGAGTGTTCGACGTGCCACACTCCTTGATCCACATGCTGGCCATGGGCATGTCCCCCTTCGACATCATCAGTAACATTCTCTCTGGGGTATCCTTGAGGTGACGAACTGAGTCCCGCGCCTGCCCCTGCTGCTCGAGCCATCCGCTGAAAGCGCTCAGAAGTGCGGCGGAACTCTGCAACTCTGGAGGTCCTAGCCCGTGCGTGTTCGCCTTTCCCTCCACCATTTTCTGGTACTCTTGATTGGTTGCCTTCAACAGCATGATCTTCTCGTCGTCGCTGGGGCCGTAGACTACTAGACCTGCTCCGAACTCCAGCGCCCTGATGCGATGTTCCAATTGGCGTAACAATTTGGCGTCGGCGTGGGACTCGTCGTACTCTGCCCTGCCATTCTTGGACTTGTCGTCGCGCTGTGCCCCTCCGCCCTTCGCCGCGCTCCGTTTGAAAGCCGAGGAAAGTAGCCAACCTGCCACCCTGTTCAGCTTCACGACCCAAGGCCTCTTGAAGGCCAGGAAATTCAAACTCCAACTGATGTGAATGTAGGCGTGACTGCAGATGCTCGAGAAGTAGATGTCTACGGAGGCCATCGAGATCGAGCCCAACATATTCGCAGGCCGGGCAATCGTAAGACTTTGGAAGGATGATTGCGCCGTCCGTGCGCCCCCGATCTGTGCGACAGATACCTCGAAGCACAATTTTGCGCATGCGCCGCTGCTCGCAGTCTACCGAAGAGAAACTGGAACCACATATTATACGCTGGCTGGAAATGAAACATCCTACCCAGCAGCTGCTTGCCGTGCGTGCCCCCCCTTGGGCATCGGGAGATGTGCTGCTAGCTGCTTTCTGGACTGGAAGCGCTGCCCACAAACTTCCCCGCCATCTTTGAGTGCCGTGCATCTGTGAGGTCCACCTTTTTTCAAGCTCCTCTTGCTTGTGCTCGCGCTGTGCGATGTTCATGAAATGGTGGGCCCTGATGCCTCATGCGTCCAGTTGAACGAACTCCTCCTTCCCCTCGAATAAGATCCCCTCGGCTCCATCTATTTCTAGTAGCCTAGCACCAACGTCGAACAGCTCGATCGTTTTGATGTCGTCGTACAATTGCTCGCACCATGGATTCGCTCTCTCGCCCTCGCCCGCGTGCGTCCCGTGAGCGCCCGGAAACAGGGGCCAACAACCGAGTGAATCGCTCGTGCCTGTTGAGACACTGCTGCAACCATCTGAGCCGTCGAACACTCATCGCAACGTGCGGAGCTGCTAGCCTCACCTTCGATATGACCTGGAGGTTAGAGAGAGTACGGATAGAACATTCTTCTTTGTGCTGGGCAGCTCCTCGCAACAGTATCTTTGCACGCATTGCAAGAAAGCTGAGAACGGGCTGCCAGTCCTGTGCTCGCATGGGCCCTGGCTTCGCGCAGAGTACTTCTGCTCCGCTGTAGCATGCATTCGCCACATAGCCTTTGAGTCAGTTAAGAATCTTCCAGCCGAAAGGTACTTTGCTGCTCCAGAATCGCCCAAAATTGTACCAATCTGATTTCCCCGCTGCCAATCGATGGTCCGTTTCAGAGACAGCGAACCGAGAATGAATGCGAGGTCCGATATAGCGTGGACATACTTTGATTTTTCCTTCAAGACACTGCCCCCGAAGAAACTTAGCCCCCAAGTAAACTGAGTTCTGTCCACAAAGGTACTGTATATTCTCTTGCTTGCTTACGTTCTGCGCCATTTTATCTCCGCCATGCGTTATGCGATGGCTGTGTTCTGAAACTTGCCATGCGATGTGATGGACTCGCTGGTTGTCTTGACATCGAAGTTGTCTGCCGTGTCACCCACATAAAGCGTGAAAACTGTTTGCGCCCACTTCTGTGACCAAGGGCACTGGGAACTGCTCTGCTTGTAGTTCGAAGCGCGCACAGAGCCCATTCCCATCTGCCTTGAGTAAGCTCCCACGAAAAGCCTCACCATAGCTGGATCGCCAGGAAGACACCAATAATAAAACACTGCCCGTTGTATCGCCAGGAATCGTCAAACGCGCCAATGTAACTCGAAGCTGCATGATCTGCCAATCTTCCTCCCGAATGGTAATTTCAACCTCCTCGCGCAAAGTGTCGCGACCAATGCAGTAGAAGGCGCTTGTAGCGTCGTGGGGCCTCTTGACATGTGACTGATGACTGCGATTTGTTCGCCGAGAGTAAGCCTGCTGTGCAATTGCTGCTGCTTCTCGCCGCCGGCCTGGGAGGCGTCCATAAATCCAAGATTCAGGCTCAGGAGGTGCGCCTTGTGCCAGGAGTGACCTATAGTAAGCCTTCGCCAGCGTGCACACTAGCATGATCAAACGTTCGCCGCCGACGCCCTCCTTCCCGTTGCCTTTACCATTCTTACATGCATCTGACAAAATCCAAGATAAAGGTAGATATCCACTTTCTCTGATGCCACGGAGCAGGCACCAAATGATAACGTAGACGGGGGCAGCGGATATCTTCTTCTGCTCCGTCTCGCATCCGACCCCGTAATTGCGTTGCTGCCTCCGCTTGTCAACCCAAGCCGGAAACATTGCCACTCGAAGAAATTCTGCGCAGAGGCCGCGCTCACGCCGCGCTTCTGTAGTTGCAGCTACCCAGGACATGCAAGGTGGGGCTGAGAACTTTCCCTTGACAGCACGCGCTGACTTGCCGGCGGGCTCTCGACCGAGCACCGGATAAGTGGCTGATGACAAGGAGCTGGCATCGTAGCCGACTGAGGGAGCGCTGGCCGAAGAGGGCCGAGATGGGCAGGCGCAAGGAGAGCTTGTGGAAAGGTCCTTCCTTGGCACTGGGCCAAGCGAGAGCGGGTCGGGCACTCGGACCCGCGCCTGCAGCCGTTGGCGAAGGGCTGCGTTTCTCCTTGTCTGGAGAATGTCCCGGATGAACGCCTTGTACACAGGCAAGGCAAGCTCCCCCTTTGAGGCGCCCACCCAGGCTGGCCAGTCCGGTAGGCCCAACTGGTCCAACAGGGCTAGCGAGGCAGCCGCCCAGGTGCGCCCTGCCCTGGAGATACATGGCCGTGCACAAACGCTCCTTCGTAAAGATTTCCATCCGGAAGGGGACACAGGCCTGCTCGCCAGGAGGCGATGTCCTGGATGGCAAGTGCTCCTCCAGAGAGCGACCAGCTAAGCTCCGACACTGCTGCAGCACCGTCGCGCCAGGGATGGCTCCCCAGGAGCGCCCTGGCCACCCTTCATAAGCAGAGTCCAGGCGCTCGGGGGCTCCCTCTGCTGTGGCCAGGAGCCAGCGCCCGAAACGCAGGGAGGCGTCAATCTCCATGTCGAAAATGAGCGCCGCCGCAGCCAGCGGGAACGCTCCTGCCGCCACGTGCCCCGCCA